ATGTAAATGTAGTTAGCTATCTTCCTTTTGACTAGTTTGTCTGTTTATTTCTAAAATAAACAGTTACATGTTTTGTGTGGTCCTATTGCTGGTTCTGCCTCAGATGTGCACATTTCCTCCCACAAAGGATATTGTTACAATGCATTTAGAATTGAGAAAATGAAATATACTTCTTAATGTTATCCAATAAAAAAATTTACTATTTGGTTCAAAATGCTCTACTAAATTACCTTTAAGAAGAAATTGGAGAATACTTAATGGTATCCCATAAAAACTTTTTACCATTGTAATGATGTTGATTTCATAACACTAAGCTCTCATTAGAACATTATTTATATTAACTATAGTACCTTCACTTATATTTCCATGGACCAAAAATGTACTGTCCACAAAATCGCCATTGCTCACAAGAGTCAGAGGATAGGTATGTGTTTTTATTCAGTCTAAGGATTGCAGACAAAACAATAAAAATTAAAAAAATCTACTTTGTACTCCATGTTCACATCCTTCCCATGTGGTTTTAGTTGTGATCAGATGGGTGTTTGACCTTATCCTGTTGTCCATGAATTTGTCTAACAATGTATTACTAATACATTACCATCTTGGAATTTAGGAACATTAGGGAATAGTATCATATATAATGGCTGCATATTCCTTGACATTTATATAACCATGCAGATAAAACATCTTCAAACCCGATGTATCCCATGAGATAGATGTTCCTTCTATTGCGTATCACACTATTTCTGAATGAGAATGTATGGTGGTAGACCTATCTTTAATAAGACTATTACAATAATAATATATTTACATTTTATGTAAATACTAGAAAATTTGTTGTTTGTTATGAAAAGAGCGCTTAGACTATTTATTTTATTTTCTCATCCCAATAACAGCAATACCAATCATTTGGGTATGTTAATAATGTAAGCTTATAAAAAATGCATAGTACATCTATGATTAAAATATAGGTTTGGTTCATTTTTAAAAGGCTCACTTACTAATATGGTGATTTAGCAACTCTGTTATTGATTGCATTTTAAGTACTAACCTATTACAGTATATTAGAATATAAATTATTTGGAACAACTTTTTTTTAACAGAAAGATGTACAAGACAATTATAGTAAACAGCACAAGGATCAGTTTTATGTACCTTTTATATACTTGTATTCTATATCCTTTATTTTAAAAATGAAGTGCAGTATTAGGACATACTTTAAAACAAGATATATTTCAATGAATCCTTTCTGGTAAAATATTTAATAAATAAAGATATAAAATACAATAAATTATCTTTTGACACAGTTCATAAATAGAAGAGTGTCTTCTTTTATTTAAATAGTAATGGTAAATTTAATTAATATGTGTGCAAGTTCTTTATTAAGTATTCCGTGGGGCAGGGTTGGCAACCTTCAGGAGTGCAGGTGTTGTGGACTATATATGCCATTATGCTCTTACAGATATAATGCTGGCAAAACAACAGGAGAGAAGTAATCTACAACATCTGTAGTAACAAATGATGCCTACCTATGCCATAGGGAATATTTGTACACTTATTTTGGTTATTTGTATATCTGCTAGGTGTATTTGGAGAGATTACACTTGGTGTTATAGCAGCTGTTATTTTAAATATTTTTGGTCTAAGCACTTTTACTATACATTATATTGTAAATGTAGATAGGTGACAAACATGTTCTAAATTGATCACAACTAGAAATCTGTTGTGAGATACAACACCAAGCCTCCCTCGTTGTCTGCTGGGGCATCACAACAGTGCACACCAGGTTCTTTGGTGTGGAAGGTCTGTTTACACCCATGAAAGGATGGATGGCCAGCATCGTCCCTCAAAGTGGAGGTAGCCATGAGGCTCTCTCTTCCTTGCAGCCCGCTATCCATGCACATTGTGGGAGTGCATTGTCCAAGTTGGGTACAGATTCCCCACAGACTATAAATTTCTTAGGCATGCATGCGCTCGATGGATGGCCTCTTAAAGGAGCAGGATTCAGGATTAAATTAGGAGTTGTGGTTTTGGGTACCAATGAAGGGAGAGAGGTGTGCCCCTCTCCCTTACATAACTACAACTGACTATGTTTGCTGGTCTCAGTTGACTGTAAACACATCTCCCTTACTTTTTATTGTTTCTCTGGAATTTGATCCATTTTGGCTGTTTATCACCTGTTAACCTGTGTTGCCTGTACTGTCCTTTGGCTATTCCCGACCATGTCTACACTTATCCCTATTGGTAACATCCTTCTGTTTTTGTTCAGCTTATTACTGTTCAGCTTATTCCTGTCAAACCCTTCATCCATAGAAAACTGTCAGTAAAAATATACTACTTCTAGCAAGGCAGTGGAGTTGTGAGTTTACTTATATAAAGAAAAGGATTGTGTTTAAAAATCAATTGGCAACCTTAATTCAACAAGGAAATAACATTTAAAAACATTAAATTGGCATGTCTCTTATATGCTCAGTATCCATATGTTGGTGATGTTTCAGAAGTATCATGTATATTTAAATGTACCTTTATCCTGCACAAAGCCAATACAAAGCTCGCTCCTGTCATATCCTAGTTAGACATGCTGTGGGACCAAAGGCTAATATAGACCATTTGCCCCTCTTCTACATTAGACCTGCTGCATTCCACAATAACTAATTTACATGTAAGGCATAAGCCTTTATAGTAGATAGATAGATAGATAGATAGATAGACAGATAGATAGATAGATATAGAAACACACACATAGAGTGGCCCAAAAATAGGTATACAGTATAGTGTATTTACATTTTGTTTGTCTTCCATCAATGTTGCATCATTCTTTAAACCTGTTCAGTACACTGTGACACAAAGTATGACACAAATTCTGGTCCTCATTAATGTCCATAAATACTTCAAGATTAACTCTTTTAGTTCATCCATTGTCTGGAACTTCCTCTCAAAAAACAAATTCATTACTTCACCCCAAAAAAAGAAGTCCATCAGTGTTGAGTCTGGTGAATGTGGCAGCCATTCAATGCTGTTGTGTCATCCTATCCAATGCTGTTGGAAGGTGTTGCCAAGATAGCCCCTTACTGCAAATGCATAATGATGAGGTGTCCCACCTTGTTGGAAGAACAGTTTGGTAAAGGTATGCCTGGTTTTTGAGTTGTTGCACTAACACATCACGCCAAATGTTTAGGTAATTGTTACTATCCACAGTTCTATTGAAGAAAATTGGTCCTACAACACCTTTGCTGGACAGTGTACCCTACACTCTGACTCTGGTTAAGTTGAGATGTGATAGTCAAATGAAGATTTTCATCTGCCCAATACACACAGTTCATTAGAAATCTGGTCACTCTCTCTCAGAATTGCCACCAGTGGTCTGGGTTATCCTCCAAAAGACCATGTATATGTAGAGGATGGTATAGCTTTAATTTCAATGTTCACATTAAGTATTGCAAGGATGTTCTCGGTATGGATAACTGCTGAGAAACATGTCATGTAGACTTTCTCGAACTGTTTACAAATGTCAGAGTGACTCTTGTCTCGTTATCCTCTGTCATAGGATGTACAGATTCATGTGCATTAATCACTGCACCCTGTTGCTTCACATTTATCTCTAATAAGATAAATTATCAGATGTGTTGGTGGAGGAATATCAAATGCTTTTTGACGCACTTTGCGCACCAGCTCGGCCTTTTCAGTCTTCGAGTACTGGTTAAGAAACCACTTTCTTTGTTCTTGACTCAAGTTCGCTGCTATCATTCACAATAACAGCACAAAAAAAATTATTTTATCTGCCCTCCACTATTTTTTCTAACCACAACATTGTGTGTCAGTGTATATGTGTACCTATATAATCTGCTGTGATGAATTTCATCAACCTGCTTTTGGTACAACTTGTATATATATATATATATATATATATATATATATATATATATATATAATAAATTTAGTTAGCACAGTTTGGCTTAATAAGGAAATTAAAGTAGACCTCCAGTTGTAAATACAACTCATAAGGATTTGCCACCCTCTTTGTTTTCGTGGACAGAGGTTCATGGAGACAGTAGTTCACAAATGAAAATCAAAGACATTCTCTCCTATATCCCTATTATAAATACATAAAATGTTGTTTTTGTCGCACAGTAGCTTATGCAGGGCTAAATACATGACTGCATTCTAGAAACCAAGGAACAAAGAGAGATAAGTTCTATAGTATACTACAGTGCTTCTCTTCTTTGCATGCTGTAATAACCTACAGTGTATACATGCTTGGCATTAGCCAAGTACCTGTACTTACTGAATTATGGAATTATGTACAGATATTAATTTTAGTTCATGATTTCATTTTTGTGAGATGCTATGATACCTAAGCTGGGTATTTAACCATTTAAGTATCTATTTTTTTAAATAATGTGATAAATTAATGTTTTTTTTTCTTTTCTTTTTTACTTGACTGCTAATACACCAGACTCTAAAAATAACTGAATTATGTTGTACAACATAAATATGATACACAATGAACTCCAAAGTTGTAGAAATTCTTTGTTGATTCCCTCCAGTGTAGTAAAATGAAAAAAAGAACAAGCTAAAATTGTGATGCAAAGTCTACTTTATAAGGGCTAAGAAACACAAAACTCAATGTTTCAGGCCCTTATCTAAAATACTGCAAAATAATCTAAAAAAAATTTTCAGGCCACCAATATCTATACAAAAGAAACATAGAAACATAGAATGTGATGGCAGATAAGAACCATTCGGCCCATCTATTCTGCCCAAAAGGATGAAACAACTGAAAAATTAAACTGCAAATATTTGAACACGATTGCTTTGTTCCGTATTTATATTTACGTTTCAAATTAACTGAATGTGTTATTGCATGCTTAAATAAATTCTATATTTTATTTTATGAAAAGAACAGTAATGAAGGGTAATTTTTCATAGTTTAATTTAACACTTATCTCACAAATTACATATTCTTTATGCTATATATCAGGCTTCCCCAAACTCCGGCCCTCCAGATGTTGCTGAACTACAACTCCCATGATTCTCAGCTTATCTATTTCATTCAAAGAATCATGGGAGTTGTAGTTCAGCAACATCTGGAGGGCTGGATTTTGGGGAAGCCTGCTATATATTCAAACTATAATATTTTGATTGAATGTTAACTAATGTAGTTAGTATTGGCTGACGCCAGTATAAGCAAACGCTGCAGAATCATGAACTATAGTGTTTTCTGCATATCTTAAATATTCAATATTCTTCCAGTAGATGGCATCTAAGATCTTTTTAGGATTGGATGAAGATCCGCTCAGATCTTCTGCAAATTTTAAGCAGCTTTAATGGAATAGAGTGACACTGACAGATATTTTGCATTTAATATGGGTTAAATTAGGCAAACCATTAAATTGTAAAACCATGCATAATGATATTTAAACTAATAAAATTAAATAAGAAAGTTGTATGCAATTATTGGGAAAAGGAATAATTTATAGAATTTGTCATTAGCGATAGAAATCAAATGTTTTATATTAGTATGAGCATATGGAGCAGTGTTTTATAACAAAAGATATATTATTGATTATCTTTAATAAGTTAAACATTATAGGGTGTACATTAATCTCAACAATAATTCACAGGAATAAGAAACAGATTACAGTATAAAAGTTTAATATATTAACCTCTTCACTGCCAAATTTTTAGTTTTTTAAATAGAGTAATATTTATTTGTAATATACGATGCTAAATCTGAAATGTTGCATATAGATTGATGTTCTAATTCTAATACACATGAAGTATATACATTTACATAATGTCATTTTTAAGTTTAGTTTTTTTTGTAAAAATAGTAAAATGCTATGAATCATAATCGTTATTAGTATTCTTTAGGATATTCGTAAGAAACATAATTTAGGATTGGGAATAGCTAAAAATAAGAACACGCTAAATATTTTTGTGTGCAAACTTTGAACACACACAGAGTTACACAGAGTATCTGTATAGAGGACTTGGAAAATCAAAGTAAATCTGTTTGAAAATAATCACAGTTCTACAAGCAGTGACTCCAGAATCCTCCCTTTCCTCACTGCCAGAAGGCAGCTGTAATGTTTGTCCATCACAGCTTGCTGTACAATATGGAATATGGAGGTTACCATTTAAAATTCCCCTGCAGAGAAATTAGCTGCTCTGAAAAACAGTGCTATAATTGACTTGAATATGTGCACTATATTTGACTTATAACTGATTATAAATGACTAATACACTGCTAAAAAGAAGGATGTAACCCCTTAAAGGACCACTATAGTGCCAGGAAAACATACTCGTTTTCCTGGCACTATAGTGCCCTGAGGGTGCCCCTGCCCGGCTCTGGGGAGAGGAAAGGGGTTAAACTTAGCTTTTTTTCCAGCGCCGGGCGGGGAGCTCTCCTCCTCCTCTCCGCCTCCTCTCCGCCTCCTCTCCTCCCTTTCGGCTGAATGCGCACGCGCGGCAAGAGCTGCGCGCGCATTCAGCCAGTCTCATAGGAAAGCATTCATAATGCTTTCCTATGGACACTTGCGTGTTCTCACTGTGATTTTCACAGTGAGAATCACGCAAGCGCCTCTAGCTGCTGTCAATGAGACACCCACTAGAGGATTTGGAGGCTGGATTAACCCTAACACAAACATAGCAGTTTCTCTGAAACTGCTATGTTTATTAAAAAAAGGATAAATCCTAGCTGGACCTGGCACCCAGACCACTTCATTAAGCTGAAGTGGTCTGGGTGCCTAGAGTGGTCCTTTAAGGACATAGCTTCAGAAGTAAAAGGCCAGCATGATGGGAAATGTCAATCATGTATCCATAAGGGGTTAAAAGTGATTGAAGCTATAGATAAAAAATACATACAGTGAACATGTGCTGATACAAAAGAAACATAAGATCTAAGCTTATGAGTTTACAATCTAACAAATACAGAACTTGTATACAAATTGCTTACCAAGATGGCTTACGAGCTTACAATCTAGAGGTAATATTAGGGAGTTAAGACATGAGGTTGCATAGGTTTAAAGTTGATGGCCAGAGATCTGGGGAGATATGTGTACACTGAATAGCTTGTGAGGTAGTTGGTTTGTTACGTTTAAAGATGAATTGTGGGCAAGTTGGCCATAAAGACAAGGGAATACCAATGGTTGCTGTCAACAAACACTATTATTAATTCAGTAAGATCACCAATTCATGTAGGTAATTTACACAATATTTTAGAGATCTCACAGGGGATATATATATATATTATTTTATTTGTTGTTCTTATCACAAGATGAGCATACTAGATAACTTTCATAGAGATAGAGGATACTGTTTTTCATCACTAGCGTAATGTGACTTTATGATTTATTCGTGAAAAAAGCTGTAAAAGTTTTATGCTGAATGAAGAGTTTAAAAGAACATACTGTAGAAAAATCATAGACCTTATCCACATAATATCAGTAGATCAGAGGTTATGAATATAACAAAAATAATAATTTTAGATACATCTGCATGCGTCTGCACTATATCTTAGATGATCTGACAGCTAAAGGGCAGGGTATTTTTAAAAAGATGCCACAAAAAAAGTACACATACTTAAAGAATTGTTAACGTGGAGAAAAAAGAATCATCAAAGTTGAGACAAACAAAAAGTAACCAACACTTTGTTCCAAACATAATGTTTAAATAAATTAGGTTTTTACTAATACTAATGACCCCAGGATGTAAGAACATCTTTCAATGTCAAGGTAAACCCATTATCTAATATGTATCCATTACATTATTCAACAAAAAATGTATATTTTTAATAAGACAGAAAATGTGACTTTTTGTAAAACTCTGTATATTATTTATCGGGACTCTTAAAGCAGCATTACCACTAGAGTTCAATGTTATTAGTTTGTAATTGTAATTAGTCTTTGGGTGCTGCCTCCTGGTGGTGACTTGTTGAGTAAAAATGAGTAAATCATGTTTTGAGTGCAGCCCTTGATGTTTTTCAACATTATTAACGTGTTAATTTCCTGCTGTTATAAATCCCTGTTTATGAATTAATATTTGCTGCAGATTGTTTTGCTCTATAAAAATGTTAAAAATAAAATAAAAACAATTATCAATAGCTAGCATTCTGTTCATATTGTTGCTACATGGCAAGATTGTATTGCAAAACAGATATGATTCCTTTGCTCAAAATCCCATTATAGTTGCATTGATAGCAATACTCATTAAAAACATAGAAACATAGAATGTGACGGCAGATAGGAACCGTTCAGCCCATCTAGTCTGCCCAATTTTCTAAATACTTGCATTAGTCCCTGGCCTTATCTTATAGTTAGGATAGCTTTATGCCTATCCCACGCATGCTTAAACTCCTTTACTGTGTTAACCTCTACCACTTCAGCTGGAAGGCTATTCCATGCATCCACTACCCTTTCAGTAAAGGAATACTTCCTGATATTATTTTTAAACCTTTGTCCCTCTAATTTAAGACTATGTCCTCTTGTTGTGGTAGTTTTTCTTCTTTTAAATATAGTCTCCTCCTTTACTGTGTTGATTCCCTTTATGTATTTAAATGTTTCTATCATATCCCCCCTGTCTAGTCTTTCCTCCAAGCTATACATGTTAAGATCCTTTAACCTTTCCTGGTAAGTTTTATCCCACAATCCATGAACCAGTTTAGTAGCCCTTCTCTGAACCCTCTCTAAGGTATCAATATCCTTCTGAAGATACGGTCTCCAGTACTGCGTACAATAGCATAACAATAATCTTCACACTATAAAAAAATGCAAGTAAATTGGGATTTTATGTTCAATGGCCATGCCATTTATTAAGTCACCGTCAAAAATCTAGGCATGATTTGCATTTTATAAACAACTGACCATCCTCCATTAGACCAAGACACCATATCCACAAGCGGGGATCATACCATGCCAGGTTCTTTCAAGTAGAGCTTACCAGATGCTCTACACACTGCGCTGCTCCTTCCATCGGTATATTAAAGCGATACTGTAGGCAGCCCATTGAAGTGGTCTGGGTGCAAACTCCCATCACCCTTAAACCTGAGCATGTAATTATTGCAGTTTTTATAAACTGCAATAATTACCTGCTAGGGTTAACTCCTCCTCTAGTGGCTGTGTACCAGACAGCCACTAGAGGGACTTCCGGGTGTTTAGACGACTTTTGGTCATCTAAACAACGCTGGACGTCCTCGCGCAATGCATGAGGACTTCCAGCATCACCGTAATCCCCATAGGAAAGCACTGAATAATGCTTTCCTATGGGGAAATCCTAATGCGAGCGTGGCATGTGATTTAGGTTTCCCACCCCGGCGGTCATCGGCAGGGGAGGAGTGTGAGTGGGTTATTAACACCTTCTGCACCACGGAGGGGGGAATTGGGCCTTAACAAAGGGTGAAGCTATAGTGCCAAGAAAACAAGTTTGTTTTCCTGGCACTATAGTTTCCCTTTAAGCCCATGTTGACTTATAAAAGTCTGAACTAAAATGTAAGCTCTTTTTTTTCATCAAAAAACAATTACAGTACTGAATGAAGATACAATCTATGGCAGAACTTGTTTGACTTTTGCATTCTCAGTAGAATCAGGTCACAAAAAATAGGAAAACACTGAATTCCAGTGAGAAGGATGATACCAAATAAAATAAAGTACTTTACTTTAGAACTAATTTTGACATAAACATAAATACAGCATGAAACAAGATGCTAAAATAAATACAAATGTGAAAATAAAATAAAAATGATCCATGATCCAAATATCCAAGACATTTGAAAGATTTTAAGAATATAAAAATAAAATTTAACAAAATAAATGTAAGAATTGATAAAATGAAAAAGAAAACACTAAAATGTCTACTTGGAATTTTAAACTATCTTTAGAAAGACAGGACCATAGAAATTTAGAAAACATACAGACAAATGGTCTACAACAATATACATGTGTGGAAGTCTATTGTCCTACAAAAACTTTGCAAACAAATACATGACGAAAAGTATTATTTTTATTCTATGTTTTATGTCTTGCTAGTCTATGTTGCCTGAATATAGTGCTAAAATGATGACTTAATACAATGTTTAATATTTTAAAAGTCACCTTTTACTTTGCTTATTCTATAAAGCCAACAATTTTAGTTATTAAATCAGAAAAATACCCTGGGGATATGTTCCCTAAAAGTGCGGAAATGTAAATTGTGTTACTTCCATTCTTAATCAGTTAGCTAACATAGAGGTATTTTGTTTGGTATCTTCCATCTATTGTCATCCATTCAGAGAATGACATCTTAATATAAAAATATGTGACCAGGTAATCAAGGATATATTCCAGGAAGTTTAGATGTGACCCTATAACTATTCTGTAAAGAATACTATGACATAAATACTATAATATATTACCTATATTTTTTCTCACGAGGCTCCTGGAGGCACTCTTACCTCAAGGGGTTAAACCGTTCTTGAACAGTAATCTAAATAAAGTTATGTTGCCAGGAGGCCCCTGGAGGCACTCTTACCTCAAAGGGCACTCTTACCTCAAAGGGGTTAAACCGTTCTTGAACAGTAAAACCCTCCTGCACTGGTCTCCACCCCCTCGGCGATTTCGGTCTTCTGAAATTTCAGCTTTAGGAAGTACGGAGTGCTGCCAGGGGAGCTGCTGATTGTCTGAGAGCAATCAACTGATGTTTTCAGCTGATTAGTGACTTCCCATTCACTAAACTGGCATGAAAAAGGTAAGTTTCTTTGCAAGCCAATTCAGTAAATGGGGAGTCACTGATTGGCTGTGACCGTCAGCTTTTAATAATAACTTTGCTCTTAATAAGTTTCTTTTAGGTATCTCTCCTGTGGTTTGATGAGTATATTTTAAAGCATAAGCCTAAAAGTTTATGGAAAGTTCATCCCAGTTACTGCAAAAAACAGTAATTGTGAAAACTTTGCATTCCTCAAATTAAACATGTTGTTGAAGGTCACACTATCTTGTAGTTGCATTTACTTCATAATATAAGTTACTCTGTGTTAAACATTGAACATTTATTATTATTATTATTATTATGATATTTATAGAGCGCCGTCAAATTCCGCAGCGCTTTACAATGGGTGGACGAACAGACATGTAGTTTATCAACTAATGCTTCAACCATTCAACATTTAATACTTAAATGCTCTAAAATATATTTCTATAGAATTTACAGAGAAGGAGCCATTTGAGTTTGTGCCTCTATGTTTGCTAATCAAGGGTTTGGATTCTTTGTACTTATAGGAATATTATGTTATTAAACAAACCCTCTTTAACAACTATGAAGACTGTCTTTATCATTCCAGTATGCAATGGCGTTTGAATACATTTTGTTTATTTAGTAGATACTTATCTATCACACCCTCCTTTTATTAAACCTTTGTTATCTTTAATCCTGATTTAGACCTGGGGGAATGGAGCTTGGGCTCCCAATTCCCTACAATATCGGTGGAGAGACCTCGGTCCCGTCTCCACCCACCACCTGGGGTTCTTCCCAGTAAATATCAACAATGTCTTCCCAGCTGAATGGGTCTGGAACTGGATTTGTCACCTTGCTGTCCTGCTGAATCTTCTCAATGGAGTGGAAGAGATCTCGGTAGTCCTGCTCCAGTTCCCACTCCCGGGTTGCTAGGTGAGCCAGGTCTTGCTCAATTTTGTGAGTGTCGTCCCAGTCATACCTGCTCTCCCTCCACTCCAAGAGATCACCGAACCGGGCTTGTGTA